TATAAAAAATGCTTTAATCTATTGCTACTTTAATCTATTGTGTCCTTTAATCTATTGCTACAGCACCACTAGACAGGGGTGAAAATATAAGGATGTTGCAGACAGAAACAGGACTCATAAAATGGAAAATATCTCTGTTGTGTAATACATGATGTATGTATGATGGAAGATATATCTCTGTTGCGCAATGCCTACGTGTTGTGTGATATTTAATGATACCTTTAATGAAAGGCCAGTGCTCTTTTATAAATACTATAAGCTATCGTCATTCAGCGAATCTTCATTCATATTTTCCTGAAGCCTGTGGGGTTCCAACATTTTAGCTGACAGCTTAGTGTGTAGGAACCTCTTGAACAGGTAAGCGTCTATTAGCTTTAGTTCAGAAGCAGATACGTAAAACTCAGAAAGGGTTAATTACTCTTTATTTCTCAAAAAAAGAATTTCACAGACCGTACAGCAAAGCCCCCACTCGGGCTTGAACTCAAAGTAATAAGAAATGAAACTTAACTAAAGTTTAACTAAAAGATACAGTCGAAGCTATCAAGATTTCTATGTAGTTGGTCCCTAAATATCAATTAACCTGGCGAAGCTATCAAGGGCCTGAAATACGGCCAATTGTAGTAATAGCTTAGAGCAGCGGTTCTCAAAGTATTTTAACTATTAAATTCAAAAATTAAAAACCCAACATCCTGAGTGAGTTTTTTCTAACACTCGTAAATTTATGCGATCTGAGCTTTGTTCGAGAGAGGGGGGTGGTACTTTCACTTTCGGAAAGGAATACGTGACTGATATTTTTTAAACAGTTTTATGTAGGGCCATGCCGACAGATTTCATCCCCTAAGGAAAAGCTCAAAATGTTTTCTTTACCATTTTTATATTAACGTTTACTGTATTATATTTTAATTCTGCCCATCCTTGCTTGTGAGTGTGTGTGTCAATGAGAATTTTCATCGCATTCAAGCACGTAAATAATTCTTATCAAAGCAAAAATAATTTAAAAAGCAACAGAAGTTGTAACTCGGTCCCCCCCCAAAAAAAAACAGAAAAGAAAACGAAAAAAAAAAAGAAAAGAAAGTAATAAGAAATGAAACTTAACTAAAGCTTAACTAAAAGATACAGCAGAAGCTATTAAGATTTCTATGTAGTTGGTCCCGGACACAGATGCCTTATGATAAATTGAGGAATCCTGGGTAAAAGAAGGCATTTTCTCTCAATACCACGTACCTTCGTAGCGTAACTGGAAAGCATATTCATGTAAGAAGTGGAAGGTCCGGTGTCCGGTCCCAGTGACAGTAATGCGCATTTTTCGCGTCTTCTGCTTCACCCTCCTTCCAGCATGGCTTCGTGATGCAACGGTAGCACACTCGGCGTGTGTTCAAGAAGTCCAGGTTCGAGTCCCGGAGAGGGCATTGCACATATTTCACGTCTCCCGTTTCAAAATGTCCTAATGATTCTATAAATTAATGTCTCTAATATTTTCTTGAAATGTTTTCCACAATATTTTCAAAATATAAATTTAGCCCAGTTTAAGTATGAAGAAACAGAATATAAGAGCAATAGATGGTTAGGTTATTTAATTACGGCGAAGCCTCGAGGGCTATCTGCCTAAGAGGAGGGATGCCTTCGTGGAGGACTTTCTAAGGGAAACTGGCTCGTATACACGTTACACATGAGGAAAACCACGAAAACACTCATGCAGCCAGCCCGTTCGCGGGATTCGAACCTTGGACCGAACTACCAGTGTTCAGCGACTTTACCCCTCGGCCGCTGGTGGGCCCATAAGAGCAAAAGAAAGTTTCGTACAATATTTGAAAAGTGGAACTGAATTTTTTTCATCAGGTCATACACTTTTACTTAAAGCATCTCCCAAACATTCAGATCAAGAAGTCATTGTTTCCAGCATTCTAAACTCCTATATATGCACTTAGATTTATTTTACTCTTCTTTACCCATCATGTATACAAAAGCTGTTAAGTTAGGAAATCAAAATGCAGCTTCTTGGACAATAAAAAAGTAGCCGACAGTTAAAATAATAGCACCTTACTACTGACCCAATTGCGCATAAAAATCGATTACAGGTAAATGCCGCGGCAGTCATCATTTAAGTTAACTCTTTTCGCCTTGCATAGTAGTGACCCCATTCTGACACCGTAAGTGCTCCCTTTGCACTGAACAATATAGGTCATCTTTCTCCAATACTTTGACAGACAGCTAACTTATGACCTTTATCTCATCTTACGATGTCTAGGGAATGGATTGTAAGGGCAGCCTTTCCTCATCTAGTGTAATTCTTTCTGTAAGGGAATAGTACAGTGTATTCTTTTATACTTACGCATGTATGTATATACGCATGTATGTATATACTTACGCATGTCTATGGCATGTAGACTCGGCAGATAGCTGGGTATTTCCCACCATACTCAAGAATAGGAAAAATGTTTTATTATTCATTTACGTTTTATTCCTTTTTCTGACAGAGTTGTTTCATACAACAAGTGCCCGCAGATTTTTAACATTTACTCATACAATGCACAGTTTATCTGTGTTTTTTTTAGTCTATTGCATATCGATCTGCTTTTTAATTTTCTGCATATCCGTCGTACAATACTAACGAACTGCACGATTTACGCTGTGAAATTCACTTCTTAAAAGAAATAAATATTAAAGACAGAAGCTCTTCTGCTTCCGGAATCAGTCATTACTTTTTATTACTATTAATTAGATATTTATTTACAAATATAATTTATAATTGTAACGTAAGGGTAACTAGAGTAACTACAAACGTTTGGAAAATGCATATGGTATAATTTACTAATGTGTTTTAAAGAGTTTTGCTAAGTGAACTGTTTTGGAACTGCTTGCATTAGGCCAATACAAGTACATCAGAAGGAAAAACGTTAGGATGTTCTTTGTCACTCCCTCTTTAAAAACAAATAAAATTTCAAGTTTGTTTCCATCTTCAAGCTGGCAAATAAAAAGCATGGAAGTTTTTACATATATTTTTTTCTTTTCCTCCTAGACACATTTTGCATGTATATACAGTCATGCCCCATATCCACTGGTTCAGTATCCATTTAGTTATAGAATATTTATGACGGACGAAGTATGATTTTGAAAATTAAAGAAATAAACATTTTATAAGCTTTCCAACATGCGCCAATCAAAAACGAATCGTAACATGATGAATATGACCCAAATGCATTTCGTATTGTCTCTTCGTGGCCGTACCATCCATGGGTACAAATAAACGTGGTATTTCACAATATACGTGCTATTTCACAAAACTGTGAGAGAAAGTAAAATAGTTATTACATTGGTCTCTTTTAGAAATATAGAGTACATATACTTGATACTCTAAAGTATAAATTCAAGATTAGGTTAATCCATTGCTTTCATATGTTCACGAGAATTTCCAGAATGCAGAATTACTTTATGCAATGATTGCAATATCTTAGTCTGCATATATACCGTACGAATATCGAAAGGCTATGTATAGTATTCTGTTTGTGACGTATGCTGTGTGACATATTCGGCCCCATCTTTTAGTGCAACCGCGGTAGGTCTTGGAACATGTTATGCACTGACAGGAAAGCCTACTATAGAGTAATGTAAAAGTATTTTTTCATCACTCATTTGTCTTTGCCCTTTAGGCTAAAATATCAGTCCCTTACTTTCATATCTACGGGAGAAAAGGATAATAGTATATTTTGCATTACTTTAACGTATAATATACCTTGCAATGTAGCATACACTGTATAGTATTTAGTATAATGTGTAATGTACTTGTACTATACATAGAATAGTATTTAGTACAGTATATTGTGTAGCGCAGTATACAGTCAGCTCCCGCTTAACTAGAAGAGGATAAACCAGATTATAGATTAAACTCAGGATTAAATAGAATCTATTTTAAGTCCTGTAGTAACCTGACCTTGTCTAAAATAAGGTTATGTTTGTTTATTGTGAAATGATATAAGATCTACTACTAGCACAAACCATCAGAATAAAGCAAGATTTCTGTGGGAAATACAAAAAGAGAAGTCAAAAATAAGTGACACAACAGCAGTCATAGTTAGATGGTGATATATTACTATTTAGGAACTGTTTTCATCCACAACGGTACATAATCCAGAATAGATAAACATTATTAAATCATTCGCTTAAAAAAATGCTAAATCGTAAAAATAAACAGCCATTAACCGTCTGTTTCCCATTAACTCCTATCAAAATACAATATAAACAAAAACATGATTATTTGTGGGTTATCTTGTTTTGAATGCTGATTTAATTACACAAAAAATGAACTTATTCTCAAATTAAACTGTTTAAAGTATAGCTAAATCGCTAACAGTGTTTTCTGATAATTACAAATCGGTTTTTTACTTTTTCTGTATTATGTTTTTAAGTGAGCTTAGATTAACGTGATTTTGGGTTAATCTTGGACTTTGTCCCCGATACTACCTCGGTTAATCGGGAATCTGCTGTACTTAATTATTATTTTTCTTGTGGTTTGCAATGTTTTATAGTGTATAATTTACGATTTAAACTCAACCATATTCATGTGTGTTATATGAAAATATTATTTTGTGTAGCATTCGCTATTGTTCCCTTCAAGTCATGGACCGTATTACCCGCGATACAGATGAATACTGTATATATTAATTTCTAGATTTTCCTGGCCCTACGTATAACAGCGTGCAAGCCAACGGTCGCTACTGTATCATTCAGAAATTTAATCTAGGTGAAAATAAATCCAAACACAAAACTATTCGATATTTCCTTTTTCGATAACATTTCCCCGAATGGATTTAAAACAATTTCTAATTTGAATTTTTAATGCATTCAAAAACAAAACTGCAAATAGGCGTTTAGAGAATTGCCTTTTTGAAAACTGTAAATCTAGCAAGGAAGCTTTTTTGGTTAAGTAATGATTTATACCATAAAAACAAATAAAGGCTTTTTTAGGATATTTTTAACAGTAATGAAAACAACAAACCTACCTCATCACATGCAGCACATCGTGGCTTGATTTGCTCGGCATAATGTCGTTCGCAATACAATGTATCGTCACGGACACAGTAAGTAAGATCAACCAGTAGTTCTTCACACACCGTGCAATAAAAGCAGGAAGGATGAAAGGCCACATCTTCACCCAGCTTCGGGGCTACTACGCAAAGTTCTCCCATGGATAATTCTCCAGAGCATCTTTTGCAATCCTAAAGGAGAAATTTCGTAATATTTAAAACAATCCTACCATTCATAAATAACACAATACCGCAATATGTCAAGCCATGGTATACAGGATAAGCAAAAAGGAATAATTCTGTTACCAGTGATTACATCAATCGATTTAGTCAGCACATATTTACTTGTGATACTCCAAATTAAAATTTAACTATCAAAATTTCTTGTTTCATTTCCTGTTTATTCAAAATTTTTGGTTTCTTGTATATAAAAGTTTTATTTTAAACCTACTTGTACACACACTGGCCAATGAATTAGAAACCTTTGAGATTTTCAGTTGAATGCGTGCTTGGAACGAAGTACGCAGTTTTTTTTTTTTTTAATGACGTAGGGTACATGTGGTTAGAATGCTAGTATAAGTAAGGTGTAAGACTGCTTTTCACGATGAATGAAGTAAACTGGGAAAAATGACATATCTTATAAGTAAGGTGTAAGACTGCTTTTTACGATGAATGGGAAAAACGGCATATCTTTCACCATTTGAAAAAGAGTTTATTGTTGGTGTCGTTTAGCCGGAGCCTCGATTGCTAAGACAGCAAATCTCACTGAGTTCTGAAAAGCAGCCATATCAAAAGTTTTCAAAAGCTGGAATCAGAACCCACAGTCCTTACGTAGAAGACGCAACTGCGGTTCGAGCAGTTTTCCAAGTGAGTGATCAGAGTCGTCTCCGACGAATTGAACAGCACAAGAGGGATTCTACTGTGCTTCAACTGACACAGATCGTCAACCAAGGTTCTTCCTAACAGATTTCAGCTCGAACCATGCGCAGCGAATTGCAGGAATGCATAGTAGGGTGCCTGTGAGAAAAACACTCATTTCTGCTCGACATGTAAGAATTCGTTTGCAGTGGTGTCGGGAAAGAAGACGCTTGATATGAGGATTGGAAACGGGAAATTAAGGCGGATGAATCACGCTACACCTTATTTTGCACTGATGGAAGACGCCGAATTTGATGAGAAACCCATGAAGCCATCTTGCCTTTCTCGCATTGTGCAAGTGTCTGGTGGGAGTATCATGACATGGGTCACGTTCTGCTGGCATGGATGTGGTGCCCTGGTGTTTCTCGACGGTAAATAAACAGCTATGAGATTACCTAGATATACTGGCAGATCAAGTGCACCTTGCAATGTTGGATTTTTAGCCTTATGGTACCATGATATTTCATGGCCGATAATGCAACTATACATCGTGTCAGATGTGTTCAAAATTGGTTCTCTGAACATCAGTCTGACTTACAACACCATCAATGACCACCGCATAGCCCCAGATCTTAGCCCCATAGAAAATGTATGGGATATGGTGGAAAAATTTAAAGGATTCTACAAGTGGCGTCCGAACTAAAAATTGGTGGACGATAATTCGTCATCTTTAGGATTTGGCGATTGGGTAGCGAGTATTCCTTTAAAAGAAGGAGTATATAAGGTATTTCCTCCCTCCATTCCGCTTGCGCTCGTGGTGTAATCTGATAACAGGCCCGGCTAGCAATCGGGTGGTCCAGTGTTCAAATTCCGGCTAGAGAATTATGCAATTTCCATGTTTCCTGTATTGACATAATTTGATGACTCTACGACCTATATATTGAGTTGTATGGATAAGAATTTGATCAATAATTAGAAATTTAAAGTTATTCCTTTATAGAACAAGAATACCAGTAAAGGTGTGGTGTATTAAAAAAAACCTTCATTTATTATAATCAGTAAATCGAACTAACTATTCTTTGAAAAACATTACCTTAATACATCTGAATAATAAAGAATTATAGTATGGCATACAGGTTGAATTTTAAGAGATGTGGAAAATTGGCTAATCTGTCTTTAAATAATGAAAAAAAACATTGAAACTGTATTTTAAACACAACAGATAAACTGCTTTGTGAGAGCATCGAATCTATTGAGTGATGACTAAAATTTAAGACTTCGATAACTGATGATTTCAGTGCTCATCGACCGAAAAGTGTGAAACATTATTTAGATTTTGTCAACATGAGGGTTATCTACGTAAAGGGTGGGAAGCCTTCGTGAAGTATATTACGAGACAAGCTGGTTCATACTCACCATACACATGGGGAAAACCCAAAACTTCCTATATAGGCATGTTCTTCGGGATTTGGGCTGGAGTACACAACTTTCGATTAGTAATTTTACCACTGGATTGCTGGTGGGAAGAGTGGCATGATTTTCAGCCGAAGAAAAATCTAGATGTTCCCGAAAGACTCCTGTTACCTCTTTGCGTTAGCGGGAAATAGTGTATATAAATAGAATAAATGCGTAAACTAAGGACGGATTCAGTAATTTTATTGCGTTATCGGCATCTAGTTTAAGACATGAAAAACCTCGTTGTAACCAGGGCTTTAATTCAGCCAGATTCCAGTTCCGAAAGCATCTCAACCTTTTAATGAAATCGTAGTTCCAAACAGAGCACAAGGCAGCTCCAAATAAGACAAACGCGGGACTTTTTTTGCAGTTAAATCGCAATATTAACAGAAAATTCTGTTATAAAATTTTATTTAGCATTTATTAAAATTGATACTGGCACTAGATACTCAATTTCCCACAGGAAAACAAATGTGAAAATTTGAACAGCTGAGGTAGAAAATCCTCAAAATCAAAATGCTATATTATCACGAACAGAAATTTTTTTGTGCTGTACTTATCTAGTCATAATGACTTCGAAAGGGTTAGAAGCCAAAAGAAAAATGAAATATGATCTGAATGCGAAGATTACTGGTCGAATTAATTGCCTTCCTTTTATCTTTGGTGTCATGTTTTTGTCTATTAATTTACTCAGTTTTTGTTTGTTTAATTATTTCACTTAATTTTTATATCTTTCTAAAATGTAATATTAAATTTCTCATTTTTATTTAATTTTTATATTTTAATTGACGATTTACTTGTTATTATGAATTTAACTAAATTCACCAACACTTTTATTCCTTTATATTTTACTTAATTTTATTTATTCATTGTTATTATTTTATTCATTTACTTTTCTTCGCCGGCTTTCCATAGAGCTCTAACATTTCTAATTTTAAAAATTAAGCTATGATTATAGAATTAGAACTAGTTTAGAGCTGTTCACATACAAGTGATCAAGAAAAGATCTTCAGTTAAATAAGTAAATGGAAATGTCTGTAAAACGTTTTTTTTTTTTACAATGGCGGGCATTTTACTGGCCAGAAGTTGTGCCCATTTTATTGTGAAAATTATATGTGATTTTATTGTGAATAGGCGGTAATCGCTACCATCCTACTGAAGGGACAGACAATTTTATATCCATGCCTTCTCTGGGATTCAAACCCAGGCACTTTGGCATCGCAGTCAGTTTCTCCAAACGACTATACCGTCCAGGCAGCAAGCCTGTAATCTGATAAAAATGCAATAAAATTTTAAATCGATTGTTACATTATATACAATTTTGTCAAGCTTTAGCATTTCTGTCCATTTAGAGGCTTTGATTAGTCTGCTGAGTCCCCAAACAGATAAAGTTACATAAAACTGATAAATTAAAATTAAAGGGAAAAAATTAACACCCTTAGTACGGATAATTCTTAATTCTAAGAATGATCTTATAAATTAAATTACAGTTCAAAAGTATGAACGCCGTAAAAGCGAAATATTTTTTTTTTTTTTTTCAGTCAGAATGCCAGCGAGGCACTGCACAAGAAAATTAAGGAGGGAGGAAGATTTTTAAAAATGCGATATTGAAAAATGTGAAATTACATAACTGCATTGTGAAAATGTAATATGGGCAAGCGAATATGCGAAAAACATAATTCTTATAATGAATTTGAATTTACCGGGCTTTCTCAATGGAAAAAATTTCCGAAGATTTTTCAAAGTTTTTGTGAAATAAACTAAACACTAGTCCTATGAATTACATCATTTGAATGTTCGGTATTTATTACTCGAGATAGAAAATAAACTTGTACATGAATTTATTTTTATTGTTAAGCGTTTATTCACACGTAAGTTGAGTGAGAGTGAGCTGGCGCGCTATACGCAAGAAAATGATAATTGAGTTTGGTATGTGATGTATGGTGTGGTATATGAGGAACCGTGGCTTCATGGAACTAACACCAGAAGAAATGTTGTCGAAAAATTTAAAAGCCACATCTATTTCCAAAGCATAAGCAAGGTCAGGAGACATCGCAATGCATCTCGCATCATTAGTGAATGAAAACTCAAGTGATGTAGGTAATGACATTGAAGTTTTAAGTAAAACACAAAAACAATAGCTTTCATTTTCAAATGAAGGCATTAGTTACAGTTTTTATAACCTTCAGGTATGAGAAGATAATTAATGACAGTAAACTGCTTTAAAATTATTCACTACCTCGAGCATATGCCGCAGTAAAAATTTAGGGCATTGAGTAAAAAATTTAGGGTGAAATTGTGAGGCCTATATGCACAAGAAAATACAGTAACCAAAAATGAGACGTTTAATGTGAAACGGATTTTTTAAGTAAAAAATAAAAGCAATAGATTAGCAATTCAATTATTTTATTTAAACAGAAAACTTTAATTAAAGAAAATAAGGGAACATTAAAAATTCTTCCGCATTTATCTAGAAAACTAAATAAAAAATTAAGCTGTGTATAGCTCAGTTATGGTTTATACTAAAAGAATCTCTTGAAGGTATACGTAGAGAAAAATCTACTTCTGGAATGTTAAAAAAATTTATACAATGTGCTTTGCTTGTAACTTTAAATGAGAAAAAAGATTTCTCATTTTCCGATTCATGTGCTCAGACATCATTTCAAAATTTAACAGATTTAAAAAGCGAGCGAGGAAAAGAGCTTACCACTTAAACTATCATTTTCATTTAATCGGCCTTGTTTTAATCTCGCAATCATCTAACTATCTGAGGTAATGGTACAAAAATTGAAGTATACTTTTCTGCTTTATTTATTGCTTAATTGGAATTCCTGGATTGATTTTATGGTTTTAAAACAATTAACTTAAATTTGCAACTA